TTTTGAGTCTTGATTAAGAATATTGACTTTCTATATTTTTCTGCTTTGTATACTTTGGGTACTTACTTATGATCTGGTGTCAGAATGGATTCGGCAGTACTTCCGGATGTTTTAGTCAAGGGTTTGATTAGATTGCTGCCTTCTCTTTCTCAACTATCCTCAGTAATTCCCCATTTCAAGTTTGGACTCTTATTTTTTTTTTTTTTGGTACCGGGGATCGAACTTGGGACCTTGGGCTTTTGAGGCAGGCGGTGGCACCACTGAGCTAAATCCCCGGCCCCTCAAGTTTGGACTCTTACTCAAGACCTTCTAGTGTCCCAGCCATACACTGAACTCTTCTTCCCCACCCCTGTAAACTGCTGCTTTACTCTTCAGTGTCTTAATTCCTGGGTCCCCTCCCCTGACTGGCTCAGCACCCTCTCCGAGCCACCTTCTTGGGTTTTATGGAGCTTTTCCTGCCTGTCTTGGACAACCAGCCACAACCACGCTCAAGTCAGTTCCCAAGCCTAGTTCCCTTCCTGATAATCTGATTTCACTGTCTGCCATTCAGCCAGTGTTTGTCAGCTTCTTCCCCAAGACATTTCGCTCTTGAATGTACAGTGAATTTTTCTGTCCCCCTACATGCTCACCCTCATGTGTAACCTATTGTCAGTGCTCAATAAATAGTCTTTATTTTTCAATCTCTGTGAAAAGATGCCAGTGTTTTAATAGTAGCTCTTGAGTGGAACCAACAAGAGTGAAAAATGGATTTGGGTTCAAATCTAAGCACTGAGATAGTGGAAACAGCCTATAGGCCCACCTTACAGATGAATAGGTAAAGAAAATGTGGTTTACATGTACAAAATGGAGTACTACTCAGTCATAAAGAAGGACAAATTTGGGTCATTTGTAGGAAAATGGATGCACCTTGAGGCTAAAATGCTAAATGACATGAATCAGATGCAGAAGGTTAAATATTGTATGGTTTCTCTTGCATGAGAAACTCAAAATATAAATAATTTAAAGAGTAAAATAAATGATAAGAAACAGGAAGGTTGATTATGTGGAGATTGGAAGGGGATCTGGGTACAGTGGGAGTAGATGGGAGGGTGAGGAAGTAAAAATGATAGAAAAGAAAAAATAACAAATCCAGTTACTGTTAGCACTAAGAGTTTCCTAACTTTTATCCTTTTCAAGCCTCACTTTCTTCATCTGTAAAACAAAGACAGTAAGATCTCTTATGAGTTTCTGAGTGAATTAAAATGAGTTCTTACAAGTGTTAAAGCATTTGAAAAGTCGAAATATTTTTATTCTGTGATGTGAATCTTACCAATCAGTTTAAAAGACCTGTGCCACATTTTCCTATTAGTAACACAACCTTCCCTGACACAACTGCTTCTTCTCATTTGCTTGCACCTGCAAATCTTTGAAAGGCTTGTCTTGGGTAAGATTGGACTCATTTCTTGGTCATTAGAGGAATGTCTCAGTGGTGGCAATGAAGAGGGCAGCCACTGTTTTTGTTTGGTTTTTTTTGCAGAGTTACATTTATGGGCAGTCAGCCCATAGCATGAGTTCAACTCTTCACTGCCAACCTTAATATTAAAGAGGAAAAGAGACACCAATAAAGATACCTTCCTCTTGCCCCCACCACCACAAGTCATTACTGTTTTCTCCATGGGAGAGAAGTGTAGATTCCATTCATCCATTCAGCATCTGTGTGCCAGGTAGTAAGATAAAAGATGAATCAGCCAACTTCCATGCTTTTAAAAGTTTCCAGTCCAGTGCGCTTGCTGGGGGCAAAGGGAGATGGATAAAGCATCTAAATAAACCAGGACTATGGCGGTAAAAAGGAGGATACACTTAGCATCTCAGGAAAGCTTTAGAAGTAACGGAATGTTGGAATGTCAGTGCACGGCTTTCAACAGGAAGGCGGGATGAAGCTCTTCAGGTAGAGGGACCCCAACTCTCATTACTTCCCCTCTTAGCACCGCATGATGCATCTTGAAGCATTTGGCTCTACCATCTTTCACCCTTTCAGCCAACTTCTTCCTGGTGCAAGGCCCAGAAGTGCTTCCTTGGAAGCAGCCTGGTTAGTACTGGATCGGACCAGAGAGCGGACACTCAAAACTTCTGCTGCTTTTGTTACTAGGGACAGGAAACAGCTGGAGAGGCTGGAGCTCCCTGGGGAAGGACGGAAGAGTCAAGGCTATGCCCTGATGCTGGCTTCTGCGTGTGTGTGTGTGTGTGTGTGTGTGTGTGTGTGTGAAGTTTGTGTCTGTTTGGATGGACGGCTAGATGTTTAAATGTAGGTCTTGCCACAGAAAACAGAAGTGAAGATTCAGAAAACAAAGAGGCAGCTCAGGACCTCAAAGGCAATTGAAAGACTGCTCAGAGAAGGGGGAGGTTGAAACAGCCTCGACCAAAACAAAAACAGAGCAGGAAGTTGCAATGAGGAGAGGAAGAAAGTCAGTGTCGTGCTGAAGAGCCCCAAGTATCACCAAATAAAAATAAAATGTATGATCCTCATTTTACCTAAGTAAATACTGTTACAGTATTTTCCTCTTTAAGGTGCAATAAATTTACTGAAATAATATTTGGTGCAGTAGGCATGAAGAACACAGACAACACAAGCAAAAAATTTCAATAATTTTTAAAAAGCACATGTATCATGTTTTATTTAGACCAGCAATTGAATATAACTTTACTCTCTACTTCCATAAGAACATTTTTTCCAGACCTTAAAAATATTAAAAACAAGTTACAAAATTGACTTATTGAAGAACATTTAAAAGGAGTACATACTTACTATTAGCATAAATTGAGAAATATAAAGGTATGTTAATGCTAATGATTGAAGATGTCAGAGCAAGAAATATAGACACTATGAATGTCATTAAGTTCTTCTCATTTCAGTTTAAGTTGAAATGTTAGCCCAAAAAATATAAAGGGATAGTTTCCCCTTTGATTAGATTCTTGTAACTACACATATTAGACATTTAGAGGACTGGCTTTAATAGAGAGGTTTTTTTTATAAAAAGTTGATATAATACTGGAATAAGCTTGGCATCTGGGTCTCAGATAAGTATTTTGAATCTATTGCTTTATAAATATGATCATAGCTATTGGCTTTCTATCAGCTTTGTAAAATAGTAATGGCTTCAAATGATTAGTTGATTTGCCAGTCTCTCAAAGATTTAGAAGTATATTGAGTTTTTGGCAGTGAACTAAGGAAATTTTGTGTGCTTTGGCTAAATTTCAACTGAACTTCTCAATTGAACAAATTTTTAGCTTGTATCCTAGTTGACCAGCAGGAGTGACTAGAGAGGAGAATGAGGTGGAGACTGTGCTGAGGAATCCATCAGACAGAGCAAAGCAGCAGCCAGCAGTGAAGAAGGGGAGCAGCTAAGTATGCAGCTCTTTATTTGCATGCAGTAGGCCTTCTGTAAATATTTACTAAAGGAAGAAATGAAAGGAACGGGTGAGCGAATAAGTACAAAGAAAGAAGAGTAAGTGTCTGATTCAAAATGAAGCGTAGATTGGGCTTCACGACAGGGTTATCACATATTTTCCCTTTGATGTGGCCTGTGTCATCTATTAAGATGCTTAACTTTCAGAAGTTGCGAAACCTTTAAAAATAAAACATCTAAAAAAATAGTTTGGAAAAGAAAGGGAAATCTATGCAAAACCAAGTTTTCAGATTTTTTTGAAGAATTTTTTTACAAGTTTAAATTTAGCATTACTTTAGGAACAAAAAATTCATTAGGAGACTGGAGGTATAGCTTAGTGGTACAGCACTTGCCCAGCATGCATGAGGTCATGGGTGCAATCTCCAGCACTGAAAAAAAAAGTGTTAAGGAGGGCCAGGGATTTAGCTCAGTGGTTCCAGTGCCTGCCTCGCAAGCACAAGGCCCCAAGTTTGATCTCCAGTACCAAAAGAATAAGAAAAAGAAAAGTGTTACGGGAAAGAAGAAGCAGCATTAGGAATAAGTTGGTTTAAAATGATAATTTATTCAAGTAATATAAATCTAATTGAAATTAACTTTAAAAAAAACCCTAATAACTACTGGGACTACAAGCTGCTATATTTTATGATGTCAAGTCTCATTTGACTTTTGCCAATTAAGAAGAAACCAGTAAAAAGTTAGAAAAGATGCCATAAACATTACAATAAAACAAAGAGAATCATTAAATTGTATTTTTTTTCTAGACCTACTACCTTCTAGATGGTATTTATTTACAGAAAAGATGTAGAAAGAAGCATTTATTTTCATAAAGTAACCCAAGGGATAGACAGGATAAGAAGGAAAAAAGATAAACCAAACTTATTATCTACAACTTTTCTAATTCCAGTACTGGGGATCAAACCTAGGGGTGCTCTACCACTGAGCTACATCCCCAGACCTCCTTTCTATTTTGAATTTTGAGACAGGGTCTCCCTAAGTTGCCCCAGCTGGCCTCAAACTTGTGATCTTCCTGAGTAGCTGGGATGACTGCAACTTTTCTCCAAGCATTTACATTTTTGTTTAATGCGTTAATGTCCCCACATTTGCCTGTTTCTCTGCTTTCTAAGCTTCCATATATCCAGGGGTCCTCTACCTGACATACAGTTAACTCTCTATATCCATAGTTCCTGCATCTGCAAATTCAACCAACAGCACATTGAAAATATATATATATATATTTTAAATTTGCATCTGTCCTGAACATACGCAAACTTTTTTCTTGTCCTTATTCACCTAAAAAATAAAGTATTTACACTGTTTAGGTATTATAAGTAACTTAGAGATGATTGAAAGTATATGGAAAGAGGTACATAGGATAGATACAAATGCTATGTCATTTTATGTAAGGGATTTGAGCATCCTCAGGTTTAGTATCCCAGGGGGTTCCTGGAACTAAGCCCCTATCGATACCAAGGAATGGCAGCATTTGCTGAGAGTCTGAAGACTTGCTCCAGAGTATTTGCACCCTGGAGTACATAAGCCCTGGTCCATTTTATGTACTAGGAAACTTATCCTTTCTTTTTTTTTTTTTTTTTTTTTTGGTACCTTGTGCTTGTGAGGCAGGCGGCAAAACCACTGAGCTAAATCCCCAGCCCGGAAACTTATCCTTTCTAATGCGGTTCCCAAATGATGGGAATGAGAAAAGACAATGTATGAACTAAGAGGTGCTAAGTTCTGTTTCACTTTGTGAATCTATGGCCCTCTCCTTCAATGAGTGGCAGGCCATTCTTAAATTCTGCTCTTCTGTACTGAAGAGCTTAGCATCTCTGCCCCGGTGATACAAAGAACTTTGTTCTTTGCCCAAATTTTCCCAAAGCAATTTTTCCTCCTCTGAGAAATACCGTCATGTCACAGTGCACTGCCCTTGAACCAGACAAGTTTTTCTGCTTGTCTTTATCTGTCTAAATAAAGCTAACCTACATTTGCTGTCTAATTCATTCAGATGCTTGCTGATGCTATTTAAAGCATCCCTCAAGGCCTGAGGAAAACAAGATTCATTATCTCTACTTGGGAACCTTTAGGTTTGCTGGTCATTTAAGGAATTCAAGAATCTATTCAGTCTTCACTGGTTCAGACATGAGGAACAAAAGAACTCTGGACTTTTTATTTCAGGCAGCTTTCCTTGACTTGTACATGGCTGGGATCTGTTGAAAGCAAAAGGTAGTTAGAAATCTCTGCCTCTGCCTCTGTCTCTCTCTCTCTCTCTCTCTCTCTCTCTCTCTCTCTCTCTCTTTCTCTCTCCTTGTTCAGGGTTCATAAAATCCAACTTTTCTAAAGATTAATTGCTCAGCAGAGTATATTTTTTGTTCTGGCTTCTGATGATTCATTCGTGTACTGTGAGTTTACTTGCCCCTCTCAGGGAACAAATGCAACAAAAGTGGCTCTCTGCACAAGCCTGTAATCCCAGCTACTTGGGAGGCTGAGGCCAGAGGATCATAAGTTTAAAGCCAGCCTGGGCAATTTAGGGAGACCCTATCTTCAAAAAGAGAGGAACCAGGGATGTAGCTCAGTGGCAGGGTGCCCGTGGGGTCAGTCCCTAGTAACACACACACATACAAGTTCAAAAGCAGCTGTCAGCTTAATAAACAGACTTTTGATGAGTTTTTGACTTGTTTCCACCTTTCCCTTTTCAGCCTCCATATATCATTTCATTAGACTTCCACATTCCAGAAATGGAAAGGAAATCTGCAGGGAAAGAAGCAGAATATTAAGGTTGTAAATAGGACTCTGTTGTGAATTTATACACGATGGGAAGTTCAGAGAGGTTTTAGATATGTTGTTTGTGTTTTCAAATCTGTTATTTCTGTAGGTGTGTTGGCTTACCTAGTGGGAGAGAGAGGTTACAAAGGGATTGTTTTAACCATTGGTACCTTGCTGCTACCTTAAACACAAGCTTATTATCAGCATCCATTTGTTCAGCCAGGATTCTGTGACGTCCATTGCAGTGAGTGAGTCAGAAGCCACAAGCTAACAGGTCTATTCCTTCCCACCGTCACCTAGGAAACCATCGCATCATCCACAGGAAATGCCGGCCCCTACGGGGAGTGTGCCCAGATTGGGTTATGAAGCTGGCAATGAGTTTTTCAGAGGAGGTCAAATAATAATGTGTAGAATCTTGGTCTAAGGTGGGAGGTGGATCCAGCCTCTCAGGCATGGATGGAGGGCTGCTGGATAGAAATAGCAAGAGAAATTAATCAGCTAAAATCACTTAAGATATTTCTTTATAAGAAACTGACCAACAACAAGAGATATGCAGACATGATTTGATTCCCCTAGCAAACAGCATTCATTTGCCCAATGGCTGAGAGTATTTTGAGGAAGCATGGTTGTACACTGTGAGAAACAAGATGAAGAAACTGACATCTCAAACCAGGCTTTCTGCTGAATAAAATGCATATCCACCATTTCGTGGTAACTGTCCTTGGGTTACAGAAGAGCCAGGAAGTACCTTTAGAAAAAAATACAGATTTCTCTTGTACTCTCACTGCTTTGGTTGTTTGTTGGTGCTATGTACGATTTTCTCTTTCCTTGATTGCTTCAGTCTACTATAGACCTGTCAGGAATTAGCCTGATTGTATCTATCCAGTTTATCACACGGTATCCAGATATCTACGGCTGTAAGTTTAGTACAGCTGAGAAAAATTACCCAGACAGTTTCATGTTATTTGACAGCTTGATATTTCCAGGCAGAATGACACCCCATTGCTGCTGCAAATGAGAGATTTTACTTCAGAGTACATGAGGTCTCCCAGAACTTCCTGCTGTAGTCTCAAAGAACATTTGATGGGAGAAAAAAAATCCCTCTGTACTGTAATCATTTGGTCCAAACAACTCATTTTTCACATGAGAAATGAGTTCCAGAGAGGGGAGGTGATTTGTCTAAGATCGTACAGCAAAAGGGAGACAAACAAGAAGGGATACAAAGTGCAAAGCTTGATCACAATTTCAGGATGAGTCAGTAGGTGACATGGGCGCCTCAAAGACTTAAAATTAGCTAGGCATGTTGGTGCACTCCTGTAATCCCAGCTACCTGGGAGGCTGAGGGAAGAGGAGCTCAAGTTCGAGCCCAGCCTAAGCAATTTAGCAACTTATGAGACCCTGTCACCAAAAAGAAAAAAAAATTAAAAAAGGACTCTTGAGCTAGGGATGTAGCTTAGTGGTAGAGTGCTTGCCTACCATGCATGAGGCCCTGGGTTCAATCCCCAGCCTGGAAGAAAAAGGTGACTGTTAATATATGAAGCTGTTTTCATTTAAATGCAGACTTTTGGGGCAGCTGGTTCCATCACAAGCTGGTAGTGTGGTGAGTGTGTGCCAAGAACATGCGGTACCATCTTGTGCATTCATTGAGTGGGAAACAGTGACAAACATGAGTGTGTCCAGAAAAGGGTAAAGATAGTGATAAAGAGTTCTAGTAGCTAACTTTGGGAGAACAACTGCAGAATGCCAGAAGATAAGAAAATTTGTCATGGGAGTGGGTATCATCAAATATTTGAGGGCTGTCTTGAAGAGGGCTCAGACTTATTTTGTGTGCCCATGAAAGGTAGTCATAAATTGTTACAAGTTAAAAAGTGATGGAATTTATCTCTATATAACTAATTTTTAATAATTGAAGCCGATACTCAACTGATGGGTATAATAGTGAATTAATTCTAAATTGGACATGCATGTTTAAATATCACATTGTTTCTCTTGTGTGGGAAACCAAAAGTATAAATAAGGACCAAAATGGATAACAGATATTGAGAAGTAGGAAGAAAATATTCAAATGGGAAGGGAAACAAGGGAGGGGGAAGAGGAGGAGGGGAAAAGAAAAAATGAGAATAAAAGGATAAAAACAGGAAAGAAAGCTTTTGTGAATAGGAGGGGAAGAAGAGTTGAAGGGAAGGTTGGTACCTTGGGAAAGGAAGAATCAAGATATATTATGTACAGGTACAAATTCCCTATGATAAATATGGTCATTATGTATATCAAAAGTGTACCAAAAAATAATTTAGAAAAAAGATAAATAGAATTATTTTCATAGAAAAAATAGTGAATTAATTCTTTATTTCTGGAGTTATTCCAGTATTCATTTATTCATCCAAAAGCATTTATTGAATACCTGCCATATACTAGGCACTACAGATACAAGATGACTTATACAGTCACTTCCTTCAAGGGGAATCATAGCCAAGTGGAGTTTCTGGACTATCAGTTCTATATAGGATGGTGTCTTAGTTCATTTTGTGTTGCTGTAACAAAATACCCAAAGTTAGGGAATTTGTAAAGAAAAGAAGTTTATTTAGGGCAAGGTTCTGAAGGTCTAAGAGCATGGTGCCAGCCTCTTATGGGCTCTGGTGGAGGGCATCTAGCTATCTACATCACCATTTAGCAGGTGGCATCATGGTGGAGATGGAGAGATCACATTGCTGGACAGGAAGCAAGAAAAAAAGCAGAGATGTCAGACTTGCATGAAAAAAAAATCTTCAGGAAAACAAATCCATTGCATAATGCCAGCATTAATCCCTCCTGAAAGTGGTGCCCCTTTTCCTAATTACTTTCAACTCAGCCTCACGTTTTTTTTCCTTTGGTACCAAGGATCGAACTTGGGACCTTGTGCTTGCGAGGCAGGCGGCAGAACTACTGAGCTAAATCCCCAGCCCTCAGCCTCACTTCTTAAATGTTCTACCACCTCAACATTACCACCCTGGAGACCAAGTTCCAGCACCTGAACCTTTGGGGATAATAATAATATCCAAAGCATAGTGGACAGAATGATCAGTAATTTAAAATGCTGTGGAAAAGATTCATGCATTGCACAGATTAAGTGGGAGACACTGAGAAGTGCTATCTGTGTTAATGAAGGGAATGCTAGTTGCTATAACAATCAAGCCTTAACGTGGCTCAAACATGATATGAAATTTACTTCTTTCTCATATAACATCTAAAATGGGATTTCTAATTGTGAGTGGCTCTTTTCCAAGTGGTGATTCAAGGGCACAGGCCTTTCCATCTTGTCATTCTTTTGCCTTCAGCATGCATATTATGGGGTCACTGTAGGGATGCCCATACTGCTGAAAAATGGAAGAGAACAGGGAGGCTTAGGGTGGGGGTTATGGGCCGGACCTAGAAATGATGCTTATATATGCTGCACACATTCTGTCCACTGCAATTCAGTCACATGTTCACATCCAACCAATGGATGCTTAAAAATTCACTCTAGGTCTAGGAATGTAGCTCAGTGCTAGAGCACTTGCATGCAGCTCTGGGTTCAATCCCCCTGAACTGCAAAAAGAAAAATAAAATAAAATTAGTCTAGCTGTGTTCTCAAGAAAAAAAGAACAGGTTTCAATGCCTAACTAGCAAATCTTTTATCACATTATCCAACTCTGAGATTCTATGATTATGGTGGAAGAACAAGATAAGACTTTTTTTAAAGGAGGATTGGGACATGTTGCTCTATTTATTTATAAATTTTAAAATTTAATCTACTTATTTTCTTAGTTGACTAATAAAATCATATGTACTTATGTACAACATGTTTTGATATATAGTCATATATTGTATATATATAATATATATATATCTCCTAATCTGATTATCATTTTGTTGTGGTGAAATAAGAATTTTTAATTTTTTTTGTTTAATGCCAATGTCATCATATCCCATGTTTACTTCAAGTATCTTCTTAATGAAGGTCTGCTAGTCAAGATATACTGTTTTGTTTTGTAGAGCTAAGAAGCAGACCCAGGGCCTTGCATATACTAGGAAAATGCTGTACCACTGAGCCATAGCCTTAGCCATATCCAGAGCCCTCAAGATATTAACATAAAGGAGCAAGAGAGAGAACAAAGCAGAGCATGGTACCCTGGGCAGAAAAAAGGAAATAATAAGCATTTGTATTTGTTTGCATGTACAATGAAGGATACACAAGAAACCATAGTAAAAATTTTTTTAAATTAAATAAATAAAAAAAAAGAAACCATAGTGACCAGGGTGAGGGCAGTGGGGTGAAGCATCGGTGGGAATAAGAATTCATGTATTCCTTTAAATATTATTTTAAACTTATTTATAAAAATATATAATTAAAAGTTTATTTCTATTGCAGAAGGGTTTTTCACTGACTGTCCTCCTTTTGTTTTCAGTGAAGAAAAGCCAAGAATAAGACTACCTGGGAAGGAGAATAGGGCACAACGTAATGAGCCCGAGGTAAAAATAATGATGAATATTGTACCTTTCTTATTATAATGTGCCTGTACTGGATTAATTAGAGTTTTCAAAAGAAATAAAAAGAATATTAATGCAGCAGCTTGGTTTTAGGCAGAATCATCTAAAAGTCTCTGCTTTTATAGCTAACATCTTTGCTTATTTTCATTGACATTTCTGTGCTAGTCAGCTTTCTGTCACTATAACAAAACATCTGAGGGGCCAGGGATTTAGCTCAGTGGTTCCGCCACCTGCCTTGCAAGTGCAAGGACCTGAGTTTGATCCCTGGTACCAAAAAAAGAAAAAAAAAACACGTGAGATAAACTTATAAAGAGAAAGGGCTTGTTTTGGCTCACAGTTTTGGAGGTTCCAGACTATGACTGGGTGGTTCCATGTCTTTGGACCTGTGGCAAGGTAGTGTATCTTGGTGGGAGCAAGTGACAGAGCAACACCGCTCACCTCATGGCCCAGGATTCCCACTGTCCTCTTCAAGGCACATTTTCTGTAACCTGAGGACTTCCCCCAAGGCTCTACCTCTTAAAGGTTCCATCACCTCCCAGTAGTGCCACCCTGGGGCTACATAGGCCTTTGGGAGACATTCAGTGTCCAAACTATAGAAATTCCTAATGACTATTAATGCTCAGATTAATATCTTGTTTTGTAAGATTCTTTGAGAGCCAGGAGTAGAAGTTTAATTCCCTACAAATTCAGATAGACCCTTTCATTTATGGGCAGTACCATCATTGAAAATGTGTGATAAAAAAATCCTTTATGTTCGAAGGCAGTGATGGCGAACCTTTTAGAGCTTTCAATGATACCAACAGCCCACTGTGGCATGCATACCATAGGTTCACCACCACTGTTCTAAGGCATCTTCATAAATACTTTCTCATTTGGTTTTTCTATCAGCAATGTGAATTAATTGAGACTAGCGTTATCTCAGCTTTAGAGATGAAAAAACAATAGTGGCCACTATAAATAAAATAGAAAGGCTAATAAAATATTGGGAGAACTGGGACTATAATAATTATTATTACAAATTATTATTACAAATCATTCATTAAAAGAAAAATACTCCAATAGAAAATTGGCAAAGGATATAAATAAAAACTCATAGAAGATGTCTCAGTAATAATAACATATTCAAAAATATTTTCTCTCTTCAAAGTCAAGAAAAATAAAAGAAAAATAGTATCTAGCATTGACAAAAGTACTTGGAAATAGAAACATTGATATTTTTCTGGTGTAGAAAGATTAGTTAGCAAAACCTTTCCATAGGTAATTTGGAAACATTAAAACATTAAACATGTTCCTACACTACAACCTGTAACTTTGTTCTACTATTCTGTCTTAATGAAACATTCAGAGAAGTATAACAATTTAAAACAAATGACAATATTTGCATGTTTTTTTTTTGTTTTTTTGTTTTTGGTACCAGGGATTGAACTTGGGTCCTTGTGCTTGTGCAGCAGGAGGTGAAACCACTGAGCTAAATCCCCGGCCCAATATTTGCATGTTTATGAGGCCAGCAAAAGATGAATCAGATGAAAAGGAAATAGCATACCAAACTGCCATTAAAAAGTCATGTCAGCTGGCATAGTGACACAGGCCTTTAATCCCAAATACTCCTGAGGCTGAAGCAGGAGGATTACAAGTTTGAGACCAGTCCAAGCAATTTAGAAAGATCCTATCTTAAAATAAAAAATAAAAATGGCTGGGGATGTAACTCAGCACTTGCTAGGTTCAATTGCCAGTCCTGAAGAAGAGAAATCATGTTAAAGAACTAGCTAAAATAGTTAAAAGCTAAAGGAAAATCTCACTACCTAGTGTTAAGTAAAAAAGCATGTCTTTAAAAGTATGCAGAAATGTGTATAAACTTTACAGACTGGTAAATTCTGAAAGACTGGTAGTACGCAAACTGGCTAAGAATGATTTAAGTTTAGAAAGACATATTCATCATTCAAAGTTTTAAAACTAGGCAGAGTTCTTGCCTTCTTCCTGATATCTATTCTACTGGGCCACTTTATTCAAACAAAACAGACCAATCATACATATTGAAAAATTTAAAAAGCAGCCCTTGGTGAGCTCTGCCAAGTGTCAAAGAATTCCTTAGCAAGTCCCATGAGGGAATTTAATGTCATGTAGGTCTATAGGTCTAGCAGATCTTGAATCTTAGGAACCATCCCTGGTGTTCTGCAAAGGTTTCAGAATGGTAACTCTTACCACACCTGCGTTTAAAATGTTTGCACATAATTTCAGCCCTCACCTGAATTCATATTTGGATCTTAGGTATCAAAGACATTGCCATTCTATAATCACTCATTCATATGTGCTTCAGTATGTTGGATGATATTTTTCCTCATATCTTGTAGATTGCTGTTCATTGCCTTGACCTAGCTGGCATTTTTAACTTTTTCAATCTCTCTTTGACTTCCAGAATCACCTCTGTAGAGCTGGGGTACCATTCAATGGTACAGCACTTGCATAGCATGTGCAAGGCCTTGGATTTGATCCTCAGCACTGAAAAACAAACAAACAAACAAAAAAACCCCACCCTGGTTGACCAGTAATCCACCTCTTATCCACTTGCAAAATCAGTTGCATTCACATTCAACTGCAACACATTAGTTGCAACACATTCAATGTGTTGATCTTTTATAATTTTCATTATAATCATAAGTCTTTTCTCACCAGCACATGCAGCATTCTCATTGCTTTTGGGATGATCAGACATACTGGGTTAATAATGTTGCAAAACACCAACACTAAATATGGCAAACTTGGCTGGTAACAGAAAACTAGTTAGTCAAGACTAAAATCACCATAGCCAACTGCTGTTGCCATCTTTTGGAAGCAGGTGAAGCTGAAATGCTTTTGCTTTTAGAGCAAGGCATTTTTCATCTCTGTGACAGTTCACAGGTTGCCAAGCTGCCAAAGAACCCCTGCCTTTCTACAGCTATGGTCCCATTCTAGCAAAGTACATTTGAGACAATAGCCATCAAATCACATCTAAATATGTAATCAAGCAAAATTATTTTTAGATAGTTCAGTTTGTTTATGTTGACTGGATAGGCTAAGGATGTGGGTTTGATCTTGGTGTGGGATATTTAGCATATAGAGAAAAACTGTGTCATCCAGGCAGTTTCTACCTTCATCCAGCCCTCTCACACATGCACACTCTTCGTGCAGCCTAGCTACAGTTTGTAGGGGGCAGTTGTAGCATTTTAGCACAGTCCATATAGCACAATACAGTTACCAACTTCTATAATAATATGTGACTTCAGAATCTGCAAATTCTGAACCTCAATTATCCATTCATTAACAAGACAGAAGATGAAGCAGGGTACAGTGGAACATGACCATAATCCCAGCTAATTGGGAGGCTGAGGCAGGAGGATCCCATATTTGAGGTCAATGTGACAATTTCGTGAGACTCTTTCAAAATAAGAATGTAAAAACGGTCTGAGGCTGCAACTCAGTGGTACAGTGTTTGCCTATATGAGACCCTGGTTCAATGCAGTTTGAGACAGGTAGGGGTGGGGATGGGGGTGAGGGAGAAGATGTCTTCATCATATATTTAAATTTTTGCACAGGCTGGATCCCACTCCAGGCTTTCAACTTGCCCTTTTCCACACCTGATTCTATAAGCAGCCATTGTAAGCCTACCTTGTAAACCTATGTGTCTGTCTGTCTGTCTGTCTCTCTATCATTTATCTATCTCTCTGTCTGTATGTCTGTCATACTATATATCTTATATTAAATCTGTCTCTTTAGTGAGCACTGACTGACATAGAGAGTATTAGAAAACTAGAGGGATGGTACTGTTCACCTCTACTCCTCAGGGACACAGTGACAATTCCTATATGAGTTTGTATCCTGATATTCGCCAAAGAACAGGTCAGTGTCACTGGAGAATGCCACACATTTCTCCAAGTACAGAAGGCTACAGATTCACAGTGCAGCTTCTGTCCTGAAATGCAATTTTCTCCCTCTGTTTTCAGGTTCCGCTTCTCCCTTCAGTGCCAGAGCTGCAGGCAGCTCTCTAAATAACACCATGTCCCTGGCCTCCTAGTTCCCATTTGCAGGGTTCAGCGGGGCTCCTTTGAGGTCTGCCCCCCACTACCCACCTCTCTCAGGAGTCTTGCTCATCTGAGTCAGCCCATGAGTCACCTTGCTCATTAATGGAATCCAGATCACTTCTCCATCCTCTGGATCCCTTTTGTCTTCCTTCTTCTGACTGGTTTCCTGGCAGCCTAAGGTCTGGGGACAAGCTTGAAGCTAGAGGCTGGGCTGACACTAAGATGATCTGCTTGGTAAAGAGGTTGGCAGGATGCAAATGGAATTAAAATGATGAGGATGTGGATGATCATGAGGATCATGATGGTGAAGTACACACAGATGCCTCAGAAGGAATTCAGTGGCCAGATTTGGTGAGTGCTTTTGACCAGCACAGTGTGCGCATGACCCTAGAAAGCGTGCTAAGATACAGATTCTGGTTTAGCAGGTCTGGGCGGGGCTTGTGGTTTTGCTTGCTGCTGCCCCACAGACTACACTTTGAGTAGCAAGACCCTAAGGACTCTGTGTAACGTCACCGCGGAACATCAAGGGTCTGCAGGGTCCAGGATGCTGCTCTGCACATTCCTCCTGCACTGCTGATGTTTATCCAGGAGTCCCAGACCATGCTGACCTGTTCTTCCAAACGCTCTTGGGTTTCTCCCATCTTCACTCCCAGTGCATCATGTTAAAGTGGCAAGATTTAAACTTGGGATTAGGACAAGAAAAAGGGCACAAATATCTTCAACCTCGGCTATGAAGTCTAGTCTAGCTCAAGTTACCAGAAAACTCTGAACTCACATTTGAGGCAGAACTTGTCTAACAACAAAGTCTTTGTTTGAGATCTCATAAAAGAGATCCCCTTTTATGATTTTATAATTTATTTCCTTTGCTGATTTTTCTACGAAGGTCTTTGTCTTTTAATTATTAAGCTGTGATAGCTCTTTTTTAAGATATTAATGAGAATAAATTTTCTTCTAATAACTTTGTTTAGTGTTTTAACTTTATCTATTAATTTTGGAGTTTGGAATCTTAGCCTGTAGGCTAGTTGTGCCGAACAGTGGCACATGACTTATTACACTCGTGCCACAGCTGTTTGTTATCATTGAAAGCTCTAAAAGGTATTAATTTTCTTGTTAATCTGAGCAAGCCCCTTTACCTGGTATGACCTGGATTCTTCCTGTACTATAAATGGAGGCAGTAAGGACTGTGTATCTTGGGAACTCTTGAAACTAGAAAGAAGTACATGTGGGATGGTGCTGGACATATACAGGCCATGGTTAGTTTGTTTTCTAAGCCTTATTAATCCCATAGTTTTATTGAAACTTATGTGAGACACAGATAACTGGTGTTGACAAGTCCCAGTTTTGTTTTGTTCTGCTTTTCATTTGGTTTTGGTTAAACAAACATTTATTGAACACTTACAAGTACTCTTGAGTTCTGTTCTAGGTTCTGGCTGTGTCTAGATAAAGAAGGTAGGCTTAGAAGCTGCCTATTGAGGGCTTTATGTGCTTATGGTTTGTGTTTATCTTTTGCCTTTTCAACTACCTCTTTCTCACTTGTCAACAGAAGAGCTCTTCTCCTCATGTGTCCATGTACAAAAGTGCGCAGTACTGTGAGGCAGATGGCCAGTTTGCTCCTTGGTGTCTACATCTTCTGTCTTGTCTCCAATTACTTATTACAATTACTGATTTCTGTAGTAGAAACTGTAAGAGTATTAGTATTCTCGCTTAGATTGACACATTTTTGTTTTAACTGTAGTAGAAACTTTGTATGGTGTTTAATGCCTTCACTTTATCTTTACTACTGCCTGTGTTTTTTAAAAAAAGAATATAAACAACTCTTTAATAGTGAAACAGGAATATCTAAATACAATGTGTTTTGCCCCTGATGGGTATTTGTTTTTTGGTAGTGTCAAAGGAAAGAACCGCTAATGGCAAATTTTAACAATCATCCAGGCAGAGAATACTCCTTCACCTCTTTATTACTACCCCTGTTATCTTGCTATACACAAATCTGCCTTATGGGTCCTTCTACTAAGAATAGATAAAACAAAAAAGTCAATATTATTGAACACTATCCATTTGCCAAGCACTGTGCTAAATGCTTTCACATACTGTTCCACATCTAATGGATCCTTTGCTTACTTACTGCAGAGGAGAAAGTGAGCCTTGTCTTTGATTGTGTCCTTCTCTGCCTAAAGGCTTTCCTCCTCTCTGTGGTGCCAACCTCATACTGGAAGCAGGGGAGCCCAGTCTAAGACAGAATCCATTCTTTTCACATCTCATTCATGTAGGTCCATGCCAAAAAGTTGGTTTCTCATTTCTAGAAGATGAGAGAGGTGTTGATTTAGGAGGTAGTGAGTGGAACGGGGCCAAAGACAGCATACCCTCTAATACCACACTGTGTTCCCACATGGGTGGGCACCTGTCTCTCATGAACGGTCTCACTCTTGTTCTGGCTTCTTGCCCAGATAATTCATTGCATTGTCTGGGAACAAGAACCTACATACATTCAATACCTTCTCTTCTTTCTTCTTTTCCTCCCTCCCTTCCTCTGTGAACATAGGTCACTTACTACCTCCCATCCCCTCATCAACCAACCATCCAAACAAAAGCCACTGTCTCCTGCAGACACTTGACAGGTTTTATCCACTGCTGAGATGACATGCATCTTCCTCTCCTATGATTCAGATCTTGGATTCCACTGAAGAAAACACTGCCTGAGTGAAGTTGTACCACCAGGAGGAAGGAATCTTCCCTTGGCCATGGAATCTTCCCTAGGAATGGCTCTCCAGCTGCTGACTGAGACACGTGGGCTCAGCCACAGGGCCAGCAAGGACCTCCCTGTTACTAACAGAAAGGAGGCAACCAGGATGCGCCAGAGGTAGGCTGAGGCAATGGCCCATTTGTAGAAGTGCCCACAAAGACATGGCTAGCAGTCCAAGTTGCAGTACTTTGACAGCATGGCAAACTTATAGCTGACTCAGTGTGGTGGATGATTGATGCCCAGCAAAAGAAGACTCTGGAAAGGGGTGTACTTATTATCAGTATGAGGTGGCATTTTTATTCTAGAGGGTGGGAGGGCACGATGGGAGGAGAAAGCTTGTTGGAAGGAGATCATGAGTTCAGGCTGAAGCAGAAACCCTTTCGTTCCACTGATAACTGCCTGAATATCAGTGGAGTTAAGAACTTGCCAGGTGCACTCCAAAGGAGACTTGATGACAAATCCAGACCCCAGCAGCCAGAAAGGACAGGGCTGCTAACACCTGTCTGGCTCATTAAGACTGAATCCTTGCAGGATGGAGGCTGCAGAAGAGAGGTCTTCAGTACCTGCTGCCAAGCAGGGCCTGACAAGCCGTTTCCATGGAGACACAGCAGTGTGCGCAGGAGGGAGTAGGAGGCCTGATCCATTCCAGAGCCTTGGGTCACAAGGCTGTAGCAGGCTAACAGATAAACAGGAAAAAGATATGATCAATGAGAAAGGGATGTCAAAACTATGGGCAGTTACTTGAGATTTCATCGTCATAATTCTAGATTAAGGGTAACAAATCAGGAGGATTGGAGCAAGTCACTTCATGATCCTTTTTGTTTTTTCTGATACTACTCAATGAGAGCACAAGGAAGTGGATGCCATTTCAGGATGACTCCAAATGCACAGACACCTATCCTAAGCCCTTCTGCATCCCTGGACTGTAGCTATGTATCACTTCCAAGTGTCTGGAGAAATAGGTAGAGAAATGAGAAGTGAATTTCTTTTTTGTTTGCTATGCTAATGGCAGTAATATGCAAGAAACCTTTAGAGCTCTTCGGAAAACTCAGATGCTGGAAAAGACCCAGATTGGATGTTGTTAAACAATTTGAGGACATTCTACCTAGAGATCCAGAAGCAATGAAGCCCCAAATGTTTGTTGTTGTGAAAGTGTGTCTTTTAAAATAGACACAACATGAAGTTTACCATTTTGGACATTTTTAAGTACGCAGTTCAGTGGTATTAAGTATTGTTGTAGTCGGGGTTTGGCAAGGGAATACATTAAATACAGGACACATAATTTATAAGATTATTTTATGATAATTACCCAAAAAGTCAAATACAAAGGAGTGCAAGGGATTAACCACACACTAGGGGCCCGAAGAATCCAGCTGAGGGCCTGGATCCCAGCAATGTCCCACACAAGTCCAGCTAAAGGCTTAGAGTCCAAGGAAGTGCCTCCACAAGTCCAGCCAGTGGCCTAGAGCCCACAGCAATGTCTCATGCTTGTCCTTATTGAGGACCTGCACCTGGAAGGTCCAAAGGCCAGTGGTGGAAACCAGAAAACCTATGCCGGTGAGATGAAGTATTTGTGCGACCAAGCTAAGGGATCCACATTAGAGCCACGAATTGATCCTCATGATGAAGCTCACAGCTCCCCTGATGAAAACAGCAGCCATTCCAAGTGACAGCGAGGCCCCGAGCTTCTCCTAGGAGAACAGCCTAGTTCGCATCAGGAAAACCATCCATAGCAAGCGTCTCCTAGAAAATCAACAGGCCCAGATCTTCCCCTCCAGTTCTCTTTTTACAGGTATTGGTAACAATCTTCAGGTGGATCCTCTTTGCCCAACCACACTGATTCAGTTCAGCTGGCCATTACAAGTTGCTCATTAGTTAATTCACTACAAGTATATTCATAATCTTGGGCCAGAGATGTAGCTCAGTGGTGGGTGTGTGCTTAGCTTGTGCAAGGTCCTGGGTGCAAACTCCAGCAGCACATTTTTAAAAGTAAATCACAATCTATGTATATCAGTCAGCATTATCTACTTTTACAACTTTATCATCACCCAAAACAAAAATGCTACCATTAAGCAACAATTCCCCATTTAGCCCTGTCTTAGTCCATTTTGTATTGTTATAACAAAATACCTGAGGCTGGGCACTTTATAAAGAAAGGAAGCTAATTTGCCTCACAGTTCTGGAGATTCAAGAGCACAGTGCTGGCATCTGCTTGGTCTAGTGAGGGTCTTGTGGGAGATGGCATCACAAAGGTGGGAATGTGTAGGGAAGAGGTCACATAGATAGGACGCAAGAGACTGGGAAAGGGCCAGGCTCCATCTTTTTGTAACAACTTGCTCTTGCAGGAATGAATCTACTCCTGTGAGACCTAACCAGCTCTGTGAAGCCAGCATTATTCTGTGACAGTAGAACCCCTTACTTAATTACTTTCCACTAAGCTCCATCACCTCAATACCACCACACTGGGGACCAGGCCTCCAGTACATGAACCATATGCAAAACCACAGCAGGTCCCAAAGATTTTAAATATCTACATTTTGCTGCAAAACTGCAGGTAGGCTAATGTTTTGGCTGCTGTAAGTGAGAAAATTGGTTTGATCTTGATTTGGTCAACTGCTCTCAATTCAGGGAGGGGAATTTTTGGCTAAAAATCCTTAATCCTATTGGTGAGCATGTTAAGCCTAATCTTTGGTGGGAAGAGACTATTTTAACCATCTTAATGACTGATGGGACTTAATAATTTTCATCTCCAAGTTATCCAAATGGCTGAGGGCAGTGCTTATTAAGCCAGTGAAAATTAACTCAAGGCCACAGTCAAAGATCGTGCTAGAGGCCAACTTTTTAAAAAGATAATGGTGCATAATTGTGTTCAGAACTGTCTCGGAACCAACTTCACTTAGGTAAGCCAACAACATTGGTGCTTGGAAAGGATAAAACATTATTCTAGTATACCACAGTAGGCTCTGACCAGAAGATCAGAACCTAAAATTCCAAATGTCCTAATCCCCTTTCTTCCACTAATGAAAACCATGAGAGGGTCTAGATATCAGACTTAAATCAGATAAGGACTTAAAGGCAGTTATAATTATGTTCAAGGAACTAAACACAGCAGTGCTCAAAGAAAAAAAGAAAGGGATGATGACAATGTCTCATTAGATAGAGATGACCAATATCAATAAAGAAATTATTTTTTTAAAAAAGAACTGACTTGAAATCATGGAGCTGAAAAGTATAATAACCAAAGTGAAAAATTCACTAGAGGTGATTAATAGTATATTTGAACTGGCAGAAGCAGAAGAATTGGCAAATTTGAAGAGAGATAGTGATTATCTTCAAACCAGAGAAAAATAATAAAAAGAGCTTCAGAGAAATGTGAGAAACTAGACATCACTAAATGCATATGGGGGAGGAATTTTTAAAATAATGGCTGAAAATTTCTGAAAGTTTATAAAAGATTTTTCCTTCATTCTTGAACATTATTTTTTGATTTTTTTTTATATATGTAACATCTTTGTTAGACTTACATAATTATGACTGCCAGTGCTTATGCTGTGCCACAACCTTCTTAGTCCTGAAAAGTTTGACTTCCAAAGAGCAGGCCACAGAGAGTTCATGTTTCCAATTTAGAATTCCAGTTATCAACTGGATTGTACACAAAGGGTTTTGTCCATGGGTTCCTTGTCCCTTGCATTATTCTAGTATATTAGAAAAGGAGACAGGATAATATAATGGACACACAACCTAGATCAAACAACTGGTAAGATTTTCTCATATGTCTTTCTTTTCTGGTTTGCATATATGTTACATATACATGGATGGTTGTATCAATTGTACCTCTAAATATTTCAACATTCACCTCTGAAAAATAAGCACATCTTTGTTAGGAAAACACATTTCCATTATCATGCTTAATAAGAGTCACATAATTTTGGGCTGGGGATTTAGCTCAGTGGTTTCACTGACTGCGCAGGCGCAAGGACCCAAGTTCGATCCCCAGTACCAAAAAAAAAAAAAAGTCACATAATTTTTCAATAGCATAGCAGGAAATACTCATCCACATTAAAAATTTCCCTATTTGTCCCAAAATGTCTTTTTTAGACATTGTGTCTAAGACATTTTAGACTAATTTAGACATTTTAGACATTATGTATATTTTTGGTAAAATATACATAATGTTGTATTTACCACTTTCACCATTTTTAAGTGTACAATTCATTAAGTATATTCACACCTTACACAATTATCACTATTATCTACTTCTATAACTTATTCAGATATTTTCACAAACAGAAATTCTACTCAGTAAGAATAAAATCCCCCATTTTCCTACCTCTAAAATGTCTTTTAATTCTGCTGAATTCAAACAGATCCATGTGTTTTATTTGGGCATTAAGTTTCTTAAGACTCTTCATCTAGCATTGTCTCCCCTCTCCACATTCACTTTTATTTTATTTTCATGACACAGACTTCTTGACTGATTGCTCTACACAATGTCCCACAGTCTGTATTTATTGGATTGTTTCTTCATGGTGTTATTAAACTTGTTCTTCTGTTCTCTGTATTTCTTGCATATTAGAAATTAGATCTAAAGGCTTGATGAAACCCAGGTAAACATTTAGGTAAGAATTCTTCACAGGTCATGCTGTATACTTATTATCACATCATGTTGGACCAAACATAATGTTTAGTTGTTTTACGACTGATCACTGGGTTAAACTGATGACAGCCTGTTAGAGAATAGGTTTTTAAAGATGACAGTTGACTACTTGCACTTTTTAAAAATAATTATTTCAATTTTAAATATTTCAGAAAAAGGGACCTCTCCAGAGTTATCTGGCACCTAGAATAAAGCCTTTATCTTGTGTAAAGGTTAGGAGGACAAAGACAAAGACCTTTTCTTCTTTATGGAGTAGATGCTGGGAGTTCAACTTTATCTCTGAGGGTGGTTGGTCAGAGCAGAAATTTCTGGGATATGAGGTCTAACAGAGACTGTTTTTTCTTTGGGCCCAGGAAAAAGGTACTCTGAATGTGGTCATTACCCAGAATTTAGTCATAGACAAATAGACCTGTTTGCTAACAGTTACTAAAGACAGAATTTGGAAATTTGGTACTGCAGAATTGTTTGTGGAATTTTAAAATAACTCCTTCTTTTCTCCATCCTTCCCCCTTCTTCCTTGATAAATCACTTAAAGAACTTTTAAAAAAACAAAGAAGAGCATTTATTTGGATGCAGAATAAACAGATCTCTACACGTTTCTTGAGCACCACTTAAATTCTAGGACAAGAAAAAAGCATGTTTGTGTTCTCTTTGTTCCATGCTTACCTCTAGTCTTGTAGCTACTATAAACGGAACAGCTGATCCAGTGAAAAAAAAATAAGGATCTAGGTTAAAGGACTTCATTGTTAAAACTAAGAATTTGAGCTGCTAAGGAAAAATGAGTTATTTTTATGTCCAAATAAATACTTTGTTTTACAGCAATTAAATAACCATGTGAGCTAAAGTATCCCTGAGGTTGCCCTGGATTTCAGCATTCCCAGAGGGTTTTTTGATTATTATTACAGTATCTTTGTTTTTATGTTTCTTTTTGTTATTTTGTTTTTTAACTAGGGCAGTTGTAAATTTCCTGCATAGGGGGATAAGAATTTAACCTGGGATCTAGACTCATAATTTTAATT